TGTCTGATGAATACTGTCTGATGAGTGCGTAGCACGAAACTCGGAGTTACAGCAAAATCTTGCCTCTTTGATATTATGTATATAACTAGCTCTACACTTTATGTGTATTGAGCACTCTTTAATGGGATCAGCTACTTCCTCATACAATTATACAATAATATTAAAGTATATACAATTTTAGCCCATATCAAGCTCATTTATTATTTTTATTTATCATAAAACTACATGTATCTATGAAATACCTATATTTCTCCATTACATAAAATTGATATTTTCACTAGTGAAAATAACACATTCGGGGTTTCTCTATATAGTGGAAGTAAGAAAAAAGATATTTTCCGCCATAATTTGCTTTCATATTTAATTATATGATAAAGAGAATATTACATGGTCGCTTTGAGATACGAATTTTATCTTCTCGTGTTGAAAATCTCTCGTTCGCTACGCTCACTCGTGAGAGATCTTTTCAACACTCGAAGATAAAATCCGTATCTCCGCGCACCCATGTAATATCCTCTATGTATGCAAAACAATAACAACTGTATCCCCCTATTAGCAATTAAAAACCTAATTAAAAACCTGTTTTGCCAAAATTACCAAACAACTACATTGTAACCTTTAAATGAAGAACATTTTTTGCCAGACTTTCAAAAAACAAGGTTTTTATTTCCAGGTGTTTACTGTATAAAGGGCAGAAAAAGTAATACTCCCATTTCGAGTTCTGATTTGCTCCGTGTTTGCCTCAAAACCAAGTAACATATTCTTTTAATTTTGTCTCATTGATAGCTCGAGAAAACGCATGGAATCTGTGAAGAAAGACAATAAATTTGATTTGAAATCTCACACTTTTACGCTCACAACTAAGGAATATTTTGCGCACAAGTGAGGCTAATACAGAGCATTGGAAATCGAAACTGGAGTATTGTTCGATGTATAATTTACGTTTAAAAGACTAATACTTCAATGCGACATTATATTTTATAGTGAATGAGACGAATAGTTCTGTTGGTGGGCGCTTTTAATCATAATTGCGATTCCAAGACTCTAAAGAAGGCGCTGCACGAGTGTTGTTTTGGACTGACATGAAAAAGCTGTTGGCTTTTGCGAAAAAGTACACTATTGATCTGTCAAAATAAAGTTATTTATCTCAAAGACCTGTCTGCGAAAGAAAGGGGTTGGTGGGGTTGGTGAAGAATTGGTGTATGTCGGTTGTCGGGATGAAATGAGTTTCTGACTGTCAAAATAAATTTTCTCTTTTCCGTATTCTTCGGCCCTTTTATCTGCCATCTAGCTTTTTAAAATTTCTAAAATCAAATTCTAAACGATTTCGAAATGAGCCATGAAAACGAAAATGCCTCTAAAGGGGATAATTTCAACGATAAAAGAAATTATATTTTTCTTCTTGCCAAAAATGTCACGAAGTCCTCATTGCCACACATGGTTTATTTTCGTTTGCCTAAGGGTACGTTTTCTCCACTATTTCGTAGTTTTAGAGCAAATAGTTTTGAATTTGCTAAGTTCTCGAATTTCATTGCTCTTCATCATTGAGAAAAATAATATCAGTCAATTGCCGTATTTCATTGTGTCATTACGGTTAAGTACAAAATTACCACTTTCAGTTCTTATGAATACAGAAGAGTTATCAAGGACAATTTGCAAAATCATAAGCAGAGGGAAGCGGAAAACAACAACAAAAAACAACAACAAACAAACAAAAAGAAAAAGGAACAAAAAAAATCAGAGACGGAAATCATCACAGTTTCAAATCAAGTCATTTCATCGAGTTTTGAGTTTTACTTTGCCCTTAAATTTGGTGTCCTCTTTTCCCACGCTAAAACGTGCATGACGTCATACTTAAGAGAGCAATTATGAGAGAAGGTCGTCTCTTTTGTCGAAATTCCGCTGTCATGCAATAACCTTTGATGGAATGAAATATATTTCCCTCTTTTTTCGTTTATTTCTTTTCCTGACTTTTTATCTCTTTTCGTCTCATCCGATCTCGATTTTGTCCTATGAATTTGACACAAAGCAGCTCATGAAAGTTCACTATGTCGTGAATTCTGTCTAATCGCTTAAGCAATAGGTACTCAGACTTAACGTTATGCGCGATGAAGATGGACTTTAGCCAAAAAGCACATTTTGAAAAATAGCCCAAAGAAGTTATTGTTAATGTCAAACTCTATTGAACCGTTGCGGACGACGGCGGAAGCTAAGTAAGAAGTAAGAGCTCACTGTGCACAATGTCACAATGCACACTTGCCACAGCAAACCATCTGAAGCCAATATGAACTATATCTTATTTAATTCTTTAGCTTATTGATAAAGTTGTAAAAAAAGATGTTATCTTTGGCAGATTCTGGGATATTCTAGAAATTGTAGCAATCTGATTTTAKTGATCATCGTGAACATCGACCGTTGTCATCTTTACCAAACCTTGCATTTTCAAAAGTCACTTTAGAGCTAAATGACAATGTGTAGACTGAACATACAAATGATTTTACACGATTGGACGACAATATATGGTCCACGTTAATTTTTTTTTGTGCCAATGAAAAACCCGAGTCACAATACCCAATGTTCAGCGACGCCATTTTCCGACAACGGCGCCAAGCATGATATGAGAGAGAAAAACCCTTGCACTTTTTTTTATATCCGATGAAATATAGACCCCTGCAAAGCTGCTGTTGCTTTTTCTTTGTAGCAATTGAAGTAGTCCGTGCCGCTCCTTTAAAGGACAACACAAAAACGGCTGTTCATGAGATATAAAAAAGTCYAAGATTACACCTCCCATCATGCTTTGCTGTTCAGAATTGCAGAYTGACTTTGATTGTATGTAAAATGGAAACAACTGCTCGGAGTTTCGTTCAACTAAGCTGTCACAAATTTCAAAAACTAATCTTGTTCTAACTTATTAGAATTAGTTCTGGACAAATATTTCGCCGTCCAAGATAAATAAACGGTTGCATTAAACGCCGACAAGTCAAATTGAATTAAAGAGTGACGTCTCTGTAGTYTGCAAAAGAAAAGAAAAGAGAGAGACAAGACGACACTAAAAGAAGAAAACATACAACTGATATAAAAAGAAGTACGATGGAAAAGAAAGTAATCATAAAGAAATTACTGATGCATCAGAGGGCGAAATACATATTGAATTTTATAAATAAATAAATACACCTGTTTTCGAAAAACATTCGCAAATAAAAWTAAGTTCATGACATGCATGTATGAACAGCACATTCAGAAAAATATATAGAGAACCCACGCATTTGGACCAAGAACCACGAATGTTCACCAAATGTTGATTTAAAGTTTAATGAGTATTGTTTGTTAACTTTTACGATTTGGGTAAACTTTTCGGGCACGTGTTCCTTTGCTTTTCGTTATAAAAATGMTTGTCTTTCACCGAATGTTTAGCTTGAACGTTTGTATAATAATAATAACTATTAATTATCTTCGTTTAATTTTGTGTTAATTTTTATCCATGTTGTTTCGATTAGCTTTTGACACGGCCGCTTATTTRCGTCGTATCGAAACGCTCAGCAGTCAGCCGAAGGACTTAAAAAACCCCGTTAGTTAGCACTTTGATGACAAGTGTTAGAATTCATTGAATACGCGAAGAAAGCAATCAACAGATTTAACAAAAGACGGAAAAATGGAAAAATAATAAAAATCGAAAATGATTAAGAAAKGGGCCAAAATTTACATCTCCTGATTGGATGTCATGCGGCTTATAAAATCGAAGAATATTCCACGTAATTCTTAATTAAAAAAGAAAAAATATCAGAAAGAAAACTTTTCCCAGTGACTTTTGAACTAAAAATATATCATCTTCTATGCGTCATAAAAAGGCGAAATTATTAACAAAGCAAATTGTGTGATGTAATGGAAATTTCCGCCAAAGCAATCACTCGCAGGTGCCAAAAAGTTGACTGGCAGTTGACATTAGCTAGCCTTACTAGCTGGCCCAAAAAGTATGTTTTCGACGCATAAAAAGACAAAGACTTGTGAACATCTTAAAAGCAGACGAGAACTCAATGGATTTTTAAGCGGGTTTTGATGTTCAACGACTCTTGTTCGTTGATTGAGTTGTGCAGAAACTAAGGGCTCTTGATTTGATAACCACACTTGCAACACACGACAGCTGATAGGGCGAGCGATAAAAACATTCTTGATTACATACTATGCGAGGTAACGGCTTCTGGAACCTTGATTTCGTCAGTAAAAGAAAGCGTCCTTCAAACATGACCAACAGAGGAGCATTTCACTATAGCTACAACCTTATTAACAACTTAAGTAACGAAGAAGCCGGCAAAGACTATTCAAAGAAACCTGGMGGCACTGCAGGCTACGCCGTACATGGCTTTAATCGATACGACAGTAATTTAAGTTCACGAAAACTCAGTTTACCATCCAGAAAAACTAGTACGACATTACCAATTCGCAAAAATAGTACTCATGAATATCGAGGAGATTTCAAAGACAATACGCAACTAACAAAAGAGAGAAAAACAAGCAGAAACGGACAACACAGTGAACATTTACGCGCGCAAAATGGTACACATGAAAGTGATAAAGTCAAGTCAAGGCAGACAGTAGGAGCCAGATATAGTGACCCTCTTTACGAACAACGGTCTTTACCTCCTTTACCMTTTAACAAGCCGCGAGGAGGAAGTGAGGGAAGCTTATATGGTAGTATGGACAACTTGACAAAACAGAAACGGATCTTGCAAATGTCATCCAAGTCACAATCGTTTAATTACACGCCACCGACGTACCACAACTTCGTTCGCAAAGAAGGCGTTTCAGCGATGGGAAATTATGAMTACATGCATGGCAAGATGAGAAAGAAGGGAGTTGTTGATACCACTGATGAGTCTCACTACCAGCGACAATTTTTACGTGTGCTAAACAAAAGATTTTAAAAGTGGCTTCTGTAGCCTCATTGTACCTCTCGAACTTCGACTGACCACTGTCCAAACAACATCACATAAGTGTTATTGAAAAAGCATTTTTAAAGGAGCTTGAAACTGCTAAAATTTAAAAAGCTTACAATTCCGAGGAATCATACATATACAGAATATAACAGTGGTTYCATAACAGTGCCAATTGCTGATGAAAACAATGCGGAAAAGAGCAATAACTGAAACGTGAAYTCATGATGGAACAACAACATTGATTATTCAAAACGAAGCTCGCCATCTRCAATTTCTGTCCCAAGAAACCAAACGCCTTACTTTGACTAACATCGCGCGCTATTACAAATATATAAATGTATAGATTAGTATTATATATTGGTTTGTTTTTCGTTGTAACTGTATATACAGAGACTGAGCTGATAGCCGAAGGGCAGGTGCTCATTGATATTCATGTTCAGCAAGATTATTGTATAGCTCTGATCTGTAATTGAACACAGCATGCAAAACACACACAACGCCATGAGATCTCAAAACCACATCCTGATGAGAAGAGAATTATATACAACTGTAGGTGGAGATTAGCAGATATCATCGTAGCATGCAATTTCGGCTAAAATATTGACTTTTTACACAAATGTCTCATCACCTTTGGATGCGCACGCGGCGAAAGGAGAAGTAGTGTATAGAGGCTACATAAAATGGGACATATTTTCATTTTTCATTGCTTTTTCGATAATGTTTAATGTTGATCGATTAAGTATGGGCAAAACGCGAAAAATATCAGAAAAATTAAAAGTATATATACTGTCAAGCCAATAAAATCCTTAAACTGCACATGATACATTATTTTACGCGGCTAATAACGTTAACAGATTCAATTATAATGGAATAAGCTAAGAATAATTCCACCAAATAAGTGTCACCTATGCTAATCTATCATTTCTTACTATATACATATATCATTGTGTATGGGAAGTTTTAAGAGATTTCTAGCAAATAAAAAAATCGATTTATTAAATACTGATATCTTCAGATTAATGCCATACCACCTTTCATTGCAAAGTAATAGCTTAAATATAGGTGATGAATTGCTATATTAAAAAGGAATTTATAATGAAAGTGTATAAAACAATTAGCACGAGTTGTGTGCGCAGTGATAAATGTTACGTAAACAAATAGTGGTTCTAATAGCTTAAAATACAACTAACATTTCTAAATGGGTGATTCAGAACTATAGAACAGACGCAATTCCCAATGCATCCTGCAAAGTCAGAAACAAAACAAAATGAAAATTGTTTTTGATCAGAACAAACAGAAGCCACAGGAAGGGAGGKAGAAAAATAGATTGAAAGCTGCGAAGGGGAGAATTCGAAAACATAAGCTCAGTGATCGATATCACATTGAAACTGCTTCATATATAGAGGATATTACATGGCCGCGCGGAGATATGGATTTTATCTTCGAGTGTTGAAACTGTGAGCGTAGCGAACGAGTGAGAGATTTTCAACACGAGAAGATAAAATTTGTATCTCCAAGCGACCATGTAATATTCTATTTATCATATAATTAGATATGAAAGCAAATTATGTCGTAAAATACCTTTTTTCTTTTTCGAGAAACCTCGAATGTGTTATTTTCACTAGTGTAAAAAACATGTTATTTTCACTAGTGAAAATATCAATTTTACGTAATGRAGAAATATAGGTATTTCATAGATAATTATATATATGATAAAATTATTTCTCACAGCAGAGAGTGCTAGGAGAGGGCGTTGGGATTGTTTGTACAATTCCGCTTTCAATTCAGTCATCTGCCAATATTGTTTTTAACTGTGTTGTATTTACTGGTGAACCCCCTTGTAGCCAGAATAAATTACGAATCAATTTGCATGCTTGCTAATATACAAGAAGTATCATAGTCATCGACGAAACAATGAACAATGCGCTTCACTGCACTGAAGTGAAATCCAACTATTCCCGTTCACAGAACGCATTAAGCTTATATTCTACAACAGAAGCAAATCAAGGTGACGAAAATAACTGCTTGTAAAACGTTTACATGTGGAATTAGAGATRTGTAAACACCCAAATGGTTCAAATAAATCGTTATTTCGTGTGTACATGGTACAATAGCTAACAGCTTTACATCAAAAAATAAGAAAACAGATGAATTAGGTACACSTAGGGACATTGGCCGGGGACTAATTGGGAGGAATGCCATCTCTAAAACAGTGAATTTATTTAAAAGCTCATTGACTTGAGAATTTGGCTCAATAGTATAGAGGTAACCTTAGCTAAATTACAGGCGCGTAGCGTCATTTACGCATATACGCACGTGCGTACTAGTGGAAAGGAAATATTTTAAATTTTCGGGATTTTATGCCTTTTATATGCTCTCGATGCCTCTYAAAACGCTGGAAATCCCATTCAAAATTTCCTGGGGGAAAGACCAGACCCCCCTTAACATCTGTAACATGCCTTAATACTCCCGCCTTCGGCGGTCGTTAGGACCGCCAAACCAAAATATGTGTCGCGGTCCCTGACATATGCGTACTAGCTAAAAAGTCCACGCTACGCGCCTGACTTAAAAAAAAGACGTACCGTCTTGATAAAGCTGCTTAACTTACTTGCATACATTGTAGAGATGGATTGCCTTCGAACATCACTTCCATTTTGATGTTGTTATTTATGCGAGTCCATTTCTTAGGGAGATGTTTCTTGAAAGAGTTCAAGATGACTCCAAAAATGTATTTCAAAATTTATTTGAGCTTTTAAACCACAAAAAGAAGCACCAAAAACGTGCTACATTTTCTGACGCCATTTTGAATGAGCCTCGCTTTCATGCAGCTGACCCTGGGCCAATTTTTAAAACCGCTATTCGTTAAGAGTGCAGGCTCATCACTTAGAAAAAATGGCGGACGCCRGTAAATGATATCAGACAAAGAAACGAAAGGCATCGCTGTTTTGGTGTASTTTAAGGGGACTTAAACACTCATTTCGAGAGAGTAAACATGGGAAAACACAAGAGCAAGAAGCACCACAAGAAATACGGTGACGATGATGGTAAGTTGAGTGTTTTGTGATTGCCCTTTTACACTTAAAGCTTGTAAAATAAAAGCTTAACTCAGTTAGTTTGATTTTATTGTTGTTTTGTAAACGATGTGCAGTGTACTTCTGTATGTTTTTATTACATCTCGTTCATGTGGCAATGGAGAGTTTTTTAAAGTTAACTGAATCTGTCTAAAGTGATCAATCCAGCTCAAATACAACTTACACAGCTTAAAGTCAGTGCTACTTGCACGAAAATGACCTGTAATTTCAAAACGCCGCGTAAAATTACTCAAATATTAGTTATGACTAATATTTAAGCTTATACCTATAATACTTTCTCAGAGAAAAGTTTTGTTATTTAGTTATCCCAAAGCAGTGAAAATTTAGCTTCAACAGCTAATAAAAAACAATAGGATGAAGTGTTCGTGCTACTTCTTGAAATCCTTGGAAAGTATTGCAAGGGCATTTGAAAAGCCCTTGAAAATTGGAAAAATCGCTAAACTCCTGGAAAACTCTTTGAATCTGATGAAATTGACGTGTTGTTTTGATAATCGCCACTGGAAGCATTCGTAAACATCTTAAAAATATTCAAAAATAGTCCTTGAAAATCTCATTTTAGTGCTTAAAAAGTACTTGAAAAGTCCTGGAATTTTGTGGTGAAAATGTACCCCGAACCCTGGGTATTCTGACGCCACTTACTCCAACTTTTCTGACCAAAATTCTTATAAGAAGTTGTATGTATCAATATCTTGTCAAAATGTGTTTGCTTCATGAATTATAGGACTCTTATTTATAGGTCTACAAAAATTTTGTGTGTTTTCCAATGTTTTGATGTTTTGCTATCTTTCATCCTACTGAAAGTATCCTTAAATTAAAATTGATTATTGGCAACCTGAAAAGTCATTTTMTTTTTAATAATAGAGAGATCACACAAGTCAAGGTCATCATCGATATTAGATTCTGGTGAAAAGCCTATCAAACTAGTACTAAAGGTCAGTGGAGGCAAAGAAACCATTGTAAACAAAGAAAAGAAACCAAAGATCAAGGACCATTCAAAGAAAAAGAAGAAGAAGAGAGAGAAAGAAGAGAAGGAGAGAAGGAAGCACAAGTTGGATATAGCATCCAGTGTAAGTTTGTTTAGTATAGGAGAAGGTATAAGACATACTTGAGGACTGCCAAAACATGGTAAACCCCTGCATTGCATAGAGATAGTTCTAGACTGCTGTCAGTCAATCAATCAAAAAGCTTTATTGTCACCAATGCCAAAGGTTTTGACTGACAGCTGTCTTATTGTCATCATAACTTTTGTTATTGATAGTTGCACATGAGTTTGCAATGATAATTAAAACATTTATTCAAAAATAGTCTCAACATTTCAACATAACCATCCTGATGTCATTTTCAAAAATGATAAAGTACATCATGATCAGTGGAGTCACTTATTGTACATGTACAAAAAAATTACCTGGTAGTTTTTTATCAAGAGTGCATCTGTTCCATCTCATAKGACTGTGCTTATATAATTTATTCCTTGTTATTATATTTTTTCTGCTTTTTCTTAATACCCATTCTTTTATTAAGAACAATATTTTTAAAATTAAAATTGCAAATTACCAATTTGATACATCTATATGTCTGTTTAAGGTGATTAACATAATACTTCACCTAAATACAGTAGGGGTATTACAGGGGAACGCATTTTAAAAAGTGTCAGCAGCGATAATATATTTCCATACTTCTGTCTCAGCATCGATCAAATCCCAGACAAAATAACACAATCCTATTACAGTGATTGGTTAACAAGCAAGACAAAACATTGGTGACACTTTTACCCATTGCACTGTAATTCAGATTGTTGTTCCTTCTAGTCATGTGCTTCRCCTGCTTCTATGTCAAGTCATGATAAATCAAAGAAGAAAAGAGATAGAATAGAAATGGAAGGAGATGATAGTTTGATGGACATGGAAAGACCAATAAAGAAGATTCATATTAAACCAATAGAACCTCCGCCCAGGTATGTAATGATTGTCAATGATYTTGACAATAAAATGTGATGTTTGTGTTGTTAAGAGATACAATGGTCTATCGATCAATATACTGTAGAYCTGGATTCCCAGATTTACTATGGTCACTCCTTGTCTTGTTAGGATACACTTTAATACAGACTTGCATATGACTTGGCTTGACAAATAGACTCCTTCACAAGCAATTTTACTTCATGGGATTCCTGTGTTGATTCAAAAATCCCATGAGGGGAAGGGTGTAAGGTATCTCAACAGTAGTTTCTTTTGGTCAAGATTATCAGCACAGGAAGACCAACATAACAAGAAGTCCATTTCTTCTTGAGTAGGCCGGCTAGGCCGGCTAGTCTTGACACACAAAATCATACCATGTAAATGGGCCTACAGCTAGATTTCTATGGCCAAGGAATTGCCTCAATCTTTTGACCTTACATACAGGCACAAAATCCTGGTTTGACCTGGACATGTTAAGCTGTGTGACAACTAGTTGCATGGTTTAATTCAGTCTTTACTCCTTTTTTGTAACAAACTGTATCATTTGGGCATGTCACCCACATAAGATTTCAATGTATCTATCTATCTATCTATCTTACTACTAGAATATGCATTAAGTGTCTCAACTGCAATTTTGTTCATAACTATAAAGACATATAATTTTTTTGTAGGCCAAAACCTGAACCTGAACCTAAACCAAAGGGTGAGTGTTACCATCATGGTTGTTAAAACCTCACAAGGAATGTCAGTTGACTATCAACCTATTGTTTGAAAATTAAGGCCATTCAGAAGTATTGCATTGCACATGATTTACTGCAAACAATTTTCAACCAGGGAGAGTGTGCACTAGCTGACCCTCTCAGTGTGCACTATGTTGCTTTAATTAGGAAATGACTATAATTCAGCCATTTGACGCGCTTTAGTGCTTAAACAGATGTGGTGACCTATCTTGTTTATTCCTGTATATATTGCTCACATTAGGGAAAGAAAACATATATTATCTGAGTTTGAAAAGGAATTTTTTAAGCCAATTTTGAGATATGGTGTGCGTATTTAAGAAATATAAAACATGGTGAGCGTTTCTCTGTCCTCTGATATAAACACGGTGGGAGTTGAAAAACGCAAGAGAAACAAGCTTAGAAAAACAAGCGTAGCAATAATTATTATCTTGAATCCAATGTTCTTGTTATCATATTTTTTTATAGTCTGTCAATATTCAGAAATCTATATTCTATAATCTTCTTTATTATGTCTTTAAATTTCCATGATTTGTACTGTAAATATAATTGTGTGTCTATCTGAATGATGTAATTGACTGCATCTTTACTAAGTAACTTTTCCTGCTTTCTGTTCTATCAGCCAAGAAGAAACCTAAAGCTGATCCTACAGCATTACAGCTTTGCCTGGAGAATCTTCTAACCATTATCCAAAGGTAAATCAATCATTTCGGAAGCATGAATAAATTAGTCAATCAGTTAATCAGACATTTATTGTATTTTTTCAATTGCAGTTTACCAGACATTACTGCTATCTTATAGTTATCAATATACCAGCCATTTTAGCTATCTTAGACTATCAGTTAAGCAGACTTTATTGCCGTTTAAGTCAATAACATAACAAGACATTATTGTCGCTTTAAGTCGCAGACAGTAAATTAGACATTCCGTAAACCAGACACCTTGCCGTCTAAGTCAGACAGTAAACTAGACGCTTTGGCGTCTAAGTCAGACGGCAAACCAGACATTTTGCTGTCTAAGTCAACCTTAATGTATTCATGCCTGACATATTAATGACTGTAAATTCTTGGTCCTAAATAGGTGATGATAATGCAAAAAGTAATTTTCTCCAGCTGGATTTACATCAATCCATATTATCACTACTGTTGACCTGTTTGACTTGTTTGACTTGTTTACCCTGCTTGACTCGTTTGCTGTGTTTGATATCATAGAAAAGACGTTCAAGGTTTCTTTGCTTTTCCTGTTAATGATGCCATAGCTCCAGGATACTCCAGAGTCATTGAGAAACCTATGGATTTCAGTACAATAAGAAACAAAATTGACAGTGGACAGTATACAACTATTGAAGGTTTCAGGGTTGGTATTTCATTGATATGGTTTTGTTGTGATAAAGTAGAGACAGCAAAGARATAATCATCTATGTTTTTGGCACATGTAGAATGTATTTTGAGATTTAAGCTTTAGGTATTTTTGAACCCTTACTCAGAGAAATCTGAGTTGTTACAACACAAAGTATTCATGGAGAATTCATTGATTTGGCCTCATAATCCCATATTACATACAATGTAAACATTTGATTGTTGAAAACATCTCAATACATGGTTTTCAACATTTGAAGATGAAGTTGTATCACAAAGCGGGCATGTAATATTCTGTTTATCGTTATAAATATATTATATGGATTGCGTACATCACTGCAAACTGCAATATTACCAGAGTATATACTATGTGTATATAGAGGTATCACAATTAGTTTTCAAATTATACAATAAACATTAAATCTTGAATCCAGACTGTAACAAGGTTTGTAATGTTCTACAGGATGACTTTCATTTGATGTGCAACAATGCTACAATATATAATGCACCAGACACCATCTACTACAAGGCTGCCAAGAGACTTCTACTGATAGGAGACAAAATGATGACACAGGTATCCTGAATATACTATCAATATATCCTCGGCAAGCAACACTTCATTCAGCTCTTTTGGGATCCCTCTGGTATCCTCTTGGMCTAGCTGGTGCCTTGAATCCCGCCAAGAAATAAGCGTTTCCTCYTCATTTTTCTAGTGCATSACAGTMTCCCTCGGTCATTCACGACTTTCCATACTCAGGTTCATTGACCACGAACAAAGCATTGAACCGAGGCGTCAAGGTACAGTGAACACAGATCTTTTATATGCTCACTGTACCTTGACGCCTCGGTTCAATGGTTTGTTCATGGTCACTGAATTGTGAATAGAGGAAGCCCAAAAGTAGCGGGAAGGAAGAGATACAACTGTGGGAGAGGCAAATTATATCGAACARCTTCGGGACTAATTATGACTTAATTACACTATGCTTAATTGCACTGGAAAACGTTTTTTAAAGGCAACTTAATTCAACTAAAACTAAAAATGGTTGAAATTAACTTCTCTCAAGTTATTGTTTTTTGACYGTTTCCTACAAAATCTTGATGTGTGTCAATAGAAAGAAGCTTGTAAAAAAGTGATTTCATGTACCATTTTCGTACACATGTATGCCACCACAAATTTTCTAAAAAAATAAATTGACGTGACTTTGTTTCAATTATTTGYGCAGGACAAGATAAGAAACATGTACCGTACTATGGGAATGCGYATGTCAGAGATAGATACAGCCACCAAAGACTTGTCCGATGAACCAATTGATGTCGACACCATTGATAGTGATCATCCTGTCATTCCTGTACACACGACTAAGAAGAAACCAAAGCCAAAGAGCAGGTAATGATAAATGATCAAAACGATCGAGTTTAACATCGAGTTGAAAATGTTTTGTGTGGCAAAAACGCTAATTTCATTTGAATTTATTAGCTTGCCCCTAGTTTGGACAGGACACCGCAACGGCTTGCGCAAATTACTGCGGACCCTATACTTTCACACTCACTACCTCTACATTAGTATTTTAGCACAACTTCTCACATGTTGATTTTTGCTGAGTGAGGAAAACCGGAGGACCCGGAGAAAAACCCTCGTGGTAAGGGAGAGAACAACACATCAAACAAACTCAAACTCACATATGGTCTGTGCCCGAGAATCGAACCTGGACCATAGCGGTGAGAGGCCAGAAGCTTAACCACTAGACCACCCGTGCCACCCATATGCCACCCTAATCAAGCCTATACATTCTCCCTAACGATTCTTTAAACTGTATGGCGATCGTATCAAGTTCTATGTTTGGTGCCATTTTTTCTAGGTTAGGAGTATTAGCTTTTAAACTGTTGACACGCAAAGCGCTAATACTGAAATCATAGTTAGTAGGGGAGAATTGCCCCTCTACTAACTATGCTGAAATCGATTCACATTGCGACAAAATATTTCATATATTCTGTCTTTCTTTTCAGTAAAAGTGACACAAGACCATCAGTGGTTGGCCGAAAGATCCTGGCGCAAGTCCAAGAGGCAGCTAAAAGGGYGTCGGCACAGCTGAAGGAGAAATATCCCAACAGCAAGGTAGCGCTCACTGCCGCGTGACCGATACAAAACACACAACAAAATCTATATTATCAATCATAGACATAGACTGATTCCATAAGTCATAGTTTTCGCTCCTCGGTTTTTCGGCTTTGTCGGACTCGTGAGCGACAAAAACWCTGACMGAGAGCGAMCTGGGACCGACTTATGGCATCAGTCTACCATAGACATATTCTTTGAAGTTCATCTACTAAATAATGATRTATCATTGAACAGATTGGATTCCTTCGCCGTGGCAAGGATGGTTCAACTTCACTGGCATTTGTAAACCCTGACAGTGCTAAAGGTATTTTTAAAACTCTTTCCAGCGCTATTCACATACGCGCGAGGAATCACTAAAACTAAAAATTTTTCGACATCAAAACATGGGAAGATAAACGGATGATACAAGGTTTTCTAACATTATTTATACCAAATTTAGAAGTGTACACATTGTCAAGTTCTTTTCTTTTGAGTCATGTTTTTTTTTGCATGAAGATGTTTTTAGGTTAATTTCTATAAGAACCTGTTTTAAATTTGAAGCTAAATACAGCGATTTCACATAACCGGATAAAAAATGCTAATGAGAATCAATTTATGCTAATACACATTACACGATATTAAACGAGGAAAAACAAGGATATTGATGAACGCTTTACTTATTTGACGTACAGATGTGTTGACGTTAATTCTGTTTATCTGTAACATGTCCAAAACGACAACAAAAG